GGCATCAGAATAAATACCGAATATTATCGCGGAAATATTCTGAAGGGTGTATTAAAGCCTTGCGTGCCCAAGGCAGCAGACCTTGGATATTCCAACAGGACTCAGCACCATCACTTCATGAAGCTCATAAAAAGCGAAATTGACACCCGATTCCATTCAGACTTAGTGCATCTCAAAGTTTCTATCAGCACAAGATGTGTTATAAAGATGGTACAGATCGGTCCCTTAATTCTGGGACCTAACCCTCCCTCCTACCCCCCAGAAAAAAGGGTTAAAGTTTATAAAATCCGATTATAAAACGATTATAAAATCCGAAAGAAGCTCCCTATTCTCTTCATATTTCACACATACCATTATTTCTACCAACACCAGATCTGCTGTGAAGATGGAATATATCGGTATATTCCCTCTGATACCTCTCCCACATATGGTCAAAATTTTGAATATCCATAAAGCTCAAAAAACGCGAAATTAACATCCGATTCCATTCAGACTTAGTATATCTCAATATTTCCATCATCACAAGATGTGTTATAAAGATGGTAGGGATCGGTTCACTACTTCTGGTACCTCCCCCACATAGGGTTTCAAATTTCACAATCCGAACATTTTTGCTAACACAAGGTCTGTTGTGAAGATTATATGTATCTCTGAACCCATTCTGGTACCTCAGCCACAAAGGGTCACAATTTCCAATATTCATAACTAGCGAAACAAGTCAGCGATTCTTTCCAACTGGCAATATTTAAATATTTCTCTCAACCAGAAATCTTAGATGAATATCCTGCACATAAGTTTGTGCAACTCTGGAATGAATGACAAGTTTATTATATTTCTGGCAGGTGGTAGGGTGTAGTCCCAACAAACAGGTCATCTAAAAAAAATAAAGGAATACAATTTTACTTGAATATAAAAGACAAAATTTCTCTTATTTTTTTAATACCGAGGCTATTAAAGGTTTCGCGAAAAAATCGTATAACTGGTTGACCAATTTCGTTTTCATAAGATTTGATTATAAGTTTGGCAAAACAATCAACGTATTGCCCGGCCAGGATTGCATGGGTTTGAAACATATGCCAGACAACAAACCAATTATTAAACTAAATTTTTTTCTCTTCTCAAAAACAAAAAAAAAACAATTTCTCCAAAACAAAAAATAAAAAATAAAAATAACGAAAACCCTTAAAAAAGAGGATGAAAGGTAAAGTGGACATAAAGATGATTGAATTTCTATCGATAGATCAATCGATATATATTGCCGTTAATAACAAAGCGGTGTCATTAGTAAAAGTTCGGCGAACTTCCCGGAAGTGATTAGTTTGTTAATTGTGGCCTTTATTCTTATTTTACATTTTTTTTTTTTTGTTTTGAGGAAAGAACAAATTAGGCGCCACTTTCAATCGCCTTTTTCAAGAGCCGTAATAAAAATATAAATAAAAGCAAAAAAGTCATGGAGCACTATAATTGTGACGGAATAGTAGCAAATGTTCAAACTTTTTTCACAAATTTTTCACGGACTCTAGACACTCTGCAATTTATGCTGGGAATATTACAGCCACTCTGGTTGAATTTATTAAAAAGAATTCAAGGATTAAGAAAGTTAAAAATTTTCATAAAAACATTAGTGGCGCCAAATTATTAACAGGTATCACTCATGTCATTTAGGAAACAATTACTTTGGGAAGTTGAATAATAACAAGAAAAAAAAAGTTAAGAACGGTAAAGTCGAACTGTAATTATTTTCAAAATTGCAATGTAAAAGTTTTAGAAAAATGTCTGTAAGGCAAGAAGTCGAGTACCATACAAGCTTTGTGGCATACCAAATTAACAAGTAAAAAAGCTGTAAGTTCGGCCGGGCCGAGCTTTCAATACCCTCCACCATTTGGCACAAATTTGGCAATTTGGGCGATATAACGGTACCTCCCTATATACGATATTTTGATGATTTTAGCTACATTATTCACCGTTTATTTCAAGTTTCGAATTTGAATATGTTAATGGCTTATGACAAATAATGCCTATGTAGGTCCACGTCGTACCTATCCCAACATAATGGCTATATTCGGTATTTTCAAAAATTAAACTGATTTTTTTAAGGATTTTATTTTTTGAAAATTTTCAAATTCGTTCCAAATGGTGGAGGGTATTCAAATTTCGGCCCTGCCGAACTTACTGTTTTTTACCTTGTTTTACATTCTATTGAATAAAAGCAAAAAATATGGGAAATAACATCCAATTTGAAAATAAGTTTAGATTTGTTCGAATTGGTCACCATAGGCACGAATTATGACCTTCAAACGGCCAATGAAACCGTCACAGGCCGCCCGAATGTTGCTCTGTGGTATTTTGACCCATTTCATGCGAAGCACTTGTTTGAAGTGATCGACACTTTGGTATTTTTAGTGCCAACTTTGCTTTCCAAAATACTCCAGACACAATAGTCCCACGCATTGGTATCCGCAGACTTTGGTGGCCATTGTGCGCTGGAAATAAAACGAGGAACCTCATTTTGTAAGAATTCTTGGGTGGCGCGTGGTGAGTGCGATGGTGTTGAGTCCTGTTGGAATGTCCAAGTTCTGCGGCCAAAATGATTGCCTGCCCAAGGCTTTAATACACCCTCCTGAATATTTTTGCCATAATATTCGGCATTTATTCTGATGCCACTGTTGATTAATACTGCCGCGGCCCACACCATCACCATGGCCGGCGCTTGAGTTCTGGTGGCCAACCGAAGGTGCACATTTCAGTTGACCTCTTTGGCAAGTAAACACGATCATTTTGTTTGTTTACAAACTGCTGGACAACGAATGTTTTCTCATCGGAGAAAACCAAATTCGCCAGTTCACCACTTTCGGCCAAGCGAAGCAACTCTTTAGCTATTTTAAGTCTATTTTCATTCTGTTGCGGTGTAAGTTCGGGCACTTTTTGGAATTTCAATGGCTTTACCCTGAGCTCCTTTTTCAATATTTGCCGAATGGAATATTACGATATGTTCAGCCCACGAGCCATTTATCAGCCACTGCCACGCGGGTTTCGATCAATTCGTTTCTTTACTTATCGAACCATTTTGTTGCTGTGTTCTTGCGTCCAATTTCTTGACGTCAGGCTACGCTACCAGTATCACGGTAACGAGCGATGGTACGAGACACAAAAGATTTATTCACATTTAAATGCTGGAGTGCTCTAACGATAGCCACTTTTTATTTTCCAGCCAAATATAAAGAAATCAAACTTTCACGCTTGAATTTCATCACGAATAACTTTTTTTCTGGAAAATTCTCACCAAAATGCTTTTGTTCGCTTGAAAAAAATACAGTGAGCTGTCACTGGAATAATTTTAACAACTGTCGGACCAGTGGCTTAACAGTCAGCAGTCTGAAGTTGGTTGCAGTTTTTTCATCTCATCATGTATATCCAATTTTATGCGAAATAATAAATTCCATATTCATCTCAGGTTTCTGGTTGAAAGAAATCTTTAGACATAGCAATTTTTTTTAAAAATCGCTGACTTGTTACACAAGTTATGGTAGATAAAAGACTTGGAATTTGTGAGCCTTTGTAGGTTCGCAGATATATATCATCTTCACAACCGATCTTGTGTCAGCAAATATGTTGGTATACGTGAAATAAGAAGAGAGTTGGGTTCTTGTTTCGTTGTCTTTGAGCGTTTCAACATTGAACCCTATATGGGGAAGGCACAAGAAGGAGTGGACCGATCTCTACTATCTTTATAAAAGATCTTGTGTTGATAGAAATATTGAGATGTGTCAAGTCTGAATGGAATCGAATGTTAATTTCGCGTTTTATGAGCTTCGTGTGGGAGAGATACCAGAAGGATTAGACCGATAAATCCCATCTTCAGAGAAGATCTTGTGTTAGCAGAAAAAATGGGATATGTGAAATATGAAAAGAACTGGATGTTTCTTTCGGTTATTCAAAACTTTGGCCCTTTGTGGGGGAGGTACCAGAAGGAGTAGCCCGATCTCTACCATCTTTATGACCGATCTTGTGTATATGGAAACATTGAGATGTGCCAAGTCTGATTGGGATCGGATATTAATTTCGCGTTTTATTTTGACCCTTTGTGGGGATGTACCAGAAGGAGTGGACCGATATATTCCATCTTCACAGCTGACCATGGGTTAATAAAAATATTGTGATGTGTGTAATTTGAAGACAATCGAACTCGTACATCACATTTTATTGAAGATATAATTAGTCAAAATTGCACACTTTGTGGGGGAGGTACTTGATGGAGTAAACCGATATTATCCATTTTCGCACCTGACCTAGCACTGATGCAAATATTAGGATTTGCAAAATTGGATTATCCTTTCCCTTTCTGTGCAGTAAATATATATTTTTTTGGAAAATTTCTACTCCGAACTCGATCATAATTTGATAAAAATATTAGGATGTACCTAGTTTGGACCAAATCGGATACACCCTTCGAGAGTCAACGTGTGCACCAGCCAGACAGATGGACGGACGGAAATCGCAGATGGTCTCCAAATGTCCTGAAACGGATTTGGTCCAAAGAGACCTAAGGTCTAAAACCGTTATTTCGATGAGGCCCGTTTTGGTCGTATCAAATGATATATACCCTCTCTAGCCATATGCCTGACAAGACTAACTAGCCATATGGCTGAAGGTATAAAAATTAAAGGCTATCATTCGATCGAATGGGGTAGTAAACTAAAATTTTGCATATATGTGTATTTTATCAGTTCGCAGGTCGGCAGGCCATTTCGGTCGGTTCAGGTATTCCTATAACAACCGTATAATCGAAAATCTAGGTATTCAGTATTTTAATGATTCTAGATCATATTTGATGTCTGCTACTCATAATAGACACCTACTAACGTCTGGGCGAATCAGACGGACATAATTTCACGCGGTTCAAATCACAAAATTGTATAATATAACCTTCATGATGGAGGGTATTAAACATACACAAAATAATCGCTAACTAATTGACTTTCCTTTCTTTATCATTTCAGATACCGTGAAGATGCACTTTGCTGGGGTGATCGGTAAGTTAACAATTGGCGGTTCGATCATCTACATGTAGGAACATGTATGATCTTGTACAACGTCACATATCAGCACAAATACCGTTCGATGCGTTTCATGGCGTTATACGAAGAAGTAGAAGAATTTCTTGCTTCTATCCGTAGTTTTTTTTTATTTTCAATAAATTTTTAATGGTTTTTATGATTGGTTGGATGGTTGATGTTTGGTTTTTTCCTTTGATTCTCTTGCAATCGATTAATAATTTATTATGTGCATATTTAACAATGCCAAAGATACGCGAATCTGTTATTTGTTACCAAACAACAACACCAACCACATTGCTTGTTTTTGTTGTCGTTGTGTTAATTCTTGCTAACACCGCAACACATTTACCGCATTATTAAATTTATAGCAAAAATGCATTTAAAGTTTTTCTTGCACTTTTGCCATTCGGATTTTTCCGAACCGAATGCATGAGCCACAACTGAGGTTATGAATGAAACGAAGGAAAAAAGAGCCTGACTGAACACAACGCAACGCAACAAAACATTCGACATTTTTTCCAACAGATTTTTTGTTTTGCTTTACGCAAGAGAATTGAAAAAAAAAAAGATCGAAAGAAAAACATGCCAAGACGAAGAGATTTCAAATGTACTGCTTGCTGTTGAACAACTTTTAATACAAATCTGTTATTGTTTTCCTACATTTTCTTCGTTTTTTCTTTGCTTGTTTCTTGCAGAAAATCTATGGAAGAGATTGGTGCTGCTCAGTCATCAGTTAATGCACGGTAAGTGATAATGGATTTTTGAAGTGCACTACTTTGAGAATATGCGATACACGGAAATATAGGTTTATCCTTCGGCTTAGAAGTAGCCCACCTAATATTGGGCAATAAAAAAAGAAATATGTATATATAACTGAACCTGTTGACATTTTTAGAAAATTCAATAGAAATTGATTTTCAATCTTCGTCGTCTATTGTGTTATGCACCGCTGTTTCGATCGAGTGCTCATTTACACTAATAGAGCTAACTATTGCTCTATTTTAAGCGATTATATTCCTAATCCATTTCTTTTTTTCAAACAGGAGTGAAGTCGGGATTGAAACTCGCAATAGATAACAACCCCTATAATTATTTAGGTTCACTCTATGTACATTGCCCTCACACAAAGATACCACATGCATAGTATGGACGGTGTAATAAAGTAAATAATCATTTAAGACCCAACGAATTATATATATTCTCGATCAGAGTAAAACTCTATGTCGATTTAGAGTTGACCATCCGTCCGTCTGTCCATCTGTTGCAATCATGCTAGGTCCAAAGCAAACATTTTGCATAGAATTGACTTTTGTCTGAAGTCAGATCAAGTTCAAAGATGAGCCATATAGGTCAATATTTTCGTCAATGTTTAATTGTACCTTCCGATTTTCAGAATTTTGACGATTTTAGCCACATCTTATGACGGAATTACTTAAAATTTGGTATATAAAGTGGCTGAGCTTTGTCTATATAGATCCACTTGTTGGCATTTAGTTTATATAATCGTGCCTCTAGATGTTCGGAATTTTGACTTTATTCACATTTTCTAAGTAAATAATTTGGTATTTAGAGTTTGTAATGGGTTCTACCTCATATGGCACAATACTGTCCATATAGGTCCACGTTTTCCTATAATCCCAATATTCGATATTTTGACGATTTTAGCCACACTTTCAGTGGCAGAATCTTACCTATGAAGATCGAAGTTTTCCTATAGACTCTATATAAAGGTACCTTCCCATATAATTTTTTTTTTGTTTCTAGCGGAATATCTTTAAATTGCGTGTTTCGAGTTCATAATGGATTCTATATTCTGCAACAGAACAGAACTATATAGATGCACATTTTCCTATAGCCAACATATGAAGATACTTCCCAATATTCGGTATTTCTAATGGAATTACAAAAAAAATTAGAAATTAGGATTCCGTAATGGGTTCTTCTCTTTATATACAGAGTGAGATAAAAATCTGCAACAAAGTCAAACGCCATAATTTTTACATTTTTATACCCTACAAAACTATGTGTTGGGGTATTATAAGTTTGATTGGGCAAAAATTTATGTAACACCACGAAATATTGGTTTCCCACATAGGAAGGTATATATAGATCTTCCTATCTCGCCGAGCTGAGTCGATCTAGCTATGTATGTCCCTCCGTCTGTCCATGTTAATTTCTAATCACTCTACAGGTCGCAATAATGGTCCGATCTTCACGAAATTTAAAATGGTGTGGGGCTAGGGTCAGAATAAAATTGGAGATGTTGCACAATATTTAGGGGTTGAAATGGACCAAAAACTGAAAAAAATTCTGATTTTGATGTTGCTCTTCAGGTCGCAATTATAGACCAATCGACACGGAAGTTAGCATGGGGCTAGAGATTAGGGCTGGGCAGAAGCCTTCCAATTTTGATAATCGGATAATATTTAGTGGGTAAAATAGGCCACAACATTTGTGTTAAATAAAATTCAAATTTTCCATTAAACCGCGAAAATTCTTAATCCCGGCGAAATCACAAACAGACGAACAGGTCAATTCGGACCGTAACGTATATGCCGATGGTAAATATATCGGTTATATATAGCGAAATATATACAATGTATATATAGAAGGAAGGGGATGTTAGCTACACTGCTTATATCTCAAGAATGGCTAGACCGATTTCACCAAGTTTTGTCAATTCAGAATGCCCTCTTACCATAAAAGTATAAAATCTAAAAAAATCGCTTAAAAAGATGCCTATAATGATGTTAATATAGATTTTGTAGTATTTTGTGACATTTTTTTTATTTTTTTCATATGTTTTGTCGCATGCGATTTTTTCAATTTGACTTATAATATTGAATTGTACTTGTTGTAATATTTTTTTTTTCATTTTACAACACAGGTTGGGGTTATGATATACAGATTGCAATTATCCTCACGAAAGGGTATGGTTAGACTCAGAATGGCTAGGCCTATGGTTTTCAAAGATGTCCGCAATATATTTAGGGGTTGAAAAGGACCAACAACTAAAAATATTCCTGATTTCGCAGCCGTTATGAAGTTAACAAATTGAATCCAAAGGAAATCTCGCATGAAGTTAGAGTTTAGGACAGCGGGTAGAGTGGACCACTACTTTTGTGTGTAAAAATACCAACATTACTTACAGGCGATATCCGAAATTCACAAAAGGCGGACTTCTGGCTTTTTTATGCTGATTTCGTTGATGAATAAAGCCAAATATCGTAGACAAGCAAATCATATAGATGAGTTTAAATTTGGTGATACAGAGGGGCCTCTTGATTTTGGAGTTAATCGCTAAATATTTAGGGGTTCAAATGAACAAAAAACAAAAAAAATTTCCTGCTCACACAATTGAAGAGAGTTAAGGACAGGGAAGAATTCTAGCATTTTGGATAACCATTGGTATATGTAGCTGTAAAATGGACCATATCAACTAACAGCACGAATGAGTGCGTAAATATTGATCAAATGTCCATGGCCTAAGAGCTAAGTGTAATCTGGGCAGTGCTCTATGACATCATTTCAAAAGCGAAATCTTCTAAAATGAATTTGGACATAAGGGGGCTTCTAACATATTGTAGTGTCATAGGGTATACATGGTCGGCCCCGCACGACTATAGCCTTTGCTTACTTGTTTTAAATGTTATTGAATGAAAGCAAAAAATGTCGGAAATAGCATCAAATTTTACAACAAGATTAGATTGGTTCGAATTGGTCAAATTTGGCCTTCAAACAGCCAATGAAACCGCCACACGCTGCCCGAATGTTTCTCTGTGGTGTTTTGGCCCATTCCCGGCGAAGCGCTTACTTGAGGTGATCGACACTTTGGTATTTTTAAGTGCCAACCTTGCTTTCCAAAATACTCCAGACACAATATTGGATTGGTATCCCGAGATATTGGTGGTCAATGAAGCGAGGAACTCCATTTTGTAACCATTCTTGGGTGTCGCGTGCTGAATGCGATGGTGCGGAGTCCTGTTGGAATGTCCAAGGTCTGCGGCCAAAATGTTTGATTACCGAAGGCTTTAATACACCCTCCAGAATATTTTCGCGATAATATTCTGTATTTATTCTGATGCCACGGTCGATTAATACGAGCGGAGAGCGACCATCGGCTGTAATGGCGGCTCACACCATCACCATGGCCGGCGCTTGGGTTCTTGTGGCCAACTGATGGGGCACATTTTAAACTGACCTCTTTGGCAAGGAAACACGATCATTTTGTTTGTTTACATACTGCTGGACAACGAATGTTTTCTCATTGGAGAAAACCAAATTCGACAGTTCACCACTTTCGGCCAAGCGGAGTAACTCTTTAGCTCTTTTGGGTCTATTTTCTTTCTGTTGCGGTGTAAGTTCTTGCACTTCTTGGAATTTCAATGGCTTTACCCCGAGCTTATTTTTCAATATTTGCCGAATGGAATATTGCGATATGTTCAGCTAAGGAGCCATTTTTCGGCCACTGCGACACGGGTTTCGAGACAATACAAATTTTTCTTCTAAATTTTGATACTCTACATCAAATAGTGTGGGCTATATTGTGATTTCAACAGACAGACAGACGGACATCGTTAAATCGACTTAGAATTTTCTGATTATGAATGTATACACTTTATGGGGTCTACGACGAATATTTAGGGATGTTATAAACGAAATGATAAAATTAATATACCCTCCTTTCAAGGTGGAGGGTATAAAAAATCCGTCAAAAAATACCGCTTAAATGAAAACCGTTATATGGGGGCTATACGAAGATGTGGGCCTGCACAGACAATTTTCTGTCTTACGCTGTAGTATCCATTTCGAACATCAAATACCAAATTTGAAACAATTCCGGTGAATAATGTCGCTAAAATCATCTAAATACCAAATATCGGGAGGTACCTTTATATGGGGGCTATATGAAAACGTGGATCTTAAAACATGTGTGCAACAATTTTAGCCTTCTATCTCAATTCGTTCGTGATTACAAAATACAGACAGACAGACAGAGGGACAGCGCTTAGATCGACTTAGAATTTTACGCTGATCAAGAATATATATACTTTGTTGGGTCTGACATTAGTATTTTGAGGAGTTACGAACGGTATGACAAAGTTAATATACCCTCCATATTATAGTGGAGGGTATAAAAATAGCGAATTTCAGGAACTTGTCCCCTACAATGTGAGGTGATGGATTAGATTACACTTGATTTGAAGCTCTAGATAGAAATGCGGGGATTGCAATTGGACGGGCGACAAGACATATGTCATGCTCGCTCTAATACCAGAAAGATGAGCTCATTTCGCCTTCCTTTTATTTTGAATTTTCAGAAAAGCAATATGTTTTGGGCAACCATTCGCGAATGTAGCGTGATTCCCTCCGAAATATGTAGATGCGCTCCGTGTGCTCCTTTGAGTATTTTTTACACAGTGTAGGGTATGTGTGCCTAAGTTCAGCATGTCCCAGTAGTCGGCACTTTTTATTTTTAAGCCCAAATAAATGGAACTATTGTAACTATATGTATTTTTTTTACTTCAAATATATTGTCAGTTATCTTTGTGCACAATTTCGCTAAGAAAAGGTGAATTATTCGTATAAAAATTAAATTTTTGTCTGTGAAGGTCCTCAACAATCCATATTCTTAAGAAAAGTACAATAAAGACATCGAATCGGTTTACCTAAACAAAAATATTATATTTTATTGAATTAATTTATTATTATAATGAATACAAAAAAATTGGTATGCCGACTG